CCTAATCATGAACAGCTTTGTAAGGGTTTATCTCACAGTGATTCAGTTAAAAAAATTTTTTTTTAAAGAAAAGCTGCTTCTCAGCCAACAACTCTGACGCCACAATCAGAGAGCCAGCTGCTCTCGGCCTCCTGCGCCCCTCCCCGGACAACCCTGCAGAAGGAAGGCTTTGGCAGAACCTCTGCCCTGGGACCAAGAAGAGAATGATTCTGTGTCTGCCCAACACAGACCCTATCTGAGTACTGGGCACCCCCACCTGCGACCTTAGGCCTGTCGCTCAGTTCCTCTCTTCACTACAAACCCAGAGTCTCTGGTCACTGGTGTCCACCTGCCTCACACACATGCCCCACCAGAGCAGCCTCGGCAGGAAGAAGCGATGCCTGTCTCCAGGCAACCCACCTGACTCTCTAGCCCTCTGCCCTGGTCCAGAGCACCTGCCCTCACGCAGGTCCTGCCTCGCCAACTTGCTTTGTGCCCGCAGCCCCGTGCAGACAGGCCGGCGGGGAGCTGGGAGGGCCGGGGTCACTCAGGACCTGAGACAGAGGCCTCCCTCCTGCCTGGATGTGCGTGGGGCTCCGGGTCTGCTTTGCCACCAGGCTGACCCAGATGAGGACCGGGTCCCCAGGAGCAGCCAGGGGCCTGCCTGGCTGGGGTGCAGTCAAGGGCGCCTGCTCTCAGGGTCAGCAGATTGGAAACCCGAAGGCCAGCAGGAAAGAAGGAACCTTTTGTTCTTCCTGTGAATGCGAAAGCCATGCACATTCCCCACTTACAGGCAATTTCTTCCCTTTAAAAGGATTCCAGCTGGTTAAATTCAAGCCCCAGTCAAGAAGCCTCTCAAGGGTCTTTCAGTTTTTATTGGCTCGAGAACAGGATGCTTTTAAAGATGTTTGCCTCTCCGTGTTTGTCAAGGCGCCAGGGAGAACACTGCCGGTTCTTTCAACATTTCTCCCTCCCAGAGACTGCTGGCATGGGACCACCCTCACTCTGCTGCATTACTCTGCCTTCTCAGGAACCCACCTGACTTCTTTTTCTCTCCCTGCTTCCCACTTCCCACCACAGCTAACACCAATGAGGGAGGAAAGATGAAGTGGGAGGGGCCCACTCAGTTCATCATTCTCATCCATCCATCTATCCATCCATCCATCCATCATCCAACCCATCCTTTCATCCATCTATCCATCCATCCATCATCCATCCATTCAATCACCCAATCATCCAGTCAGCCATTCATCTCTTTGATCACCACCCAATCCCCTAGTCAGTCAATACAGGATCTGTGGGTAGAGGCTGTGGGTGTGATTTATGCTTCAAAGAAACACAGCACATGGTTTTGCTCCCCTGAAGTAGAAAGGTTGCGGCATTGGCAGATCTAAATAAACCAGAGAGGGGGCTGGAGCGATAGCACAGCGGGTAGGGCGTTTGCCCTGCACACAGCCGACCCGGGTTCGATTCCCAGCATCCCATATGGTCCCCCGAACACCGCCAGGAGTAATTCCTGAGTGAAGAGCCAGAAATAACCTTTGTGCATTGCTGGGTGTGACCCAGAAAGCAAATAAACAAATAAATAAGCCAAAGTGACTAGCAGCTCTGGGTTTGGAAGGAGCGCTGGAGCTCAGGGGTCTGGAGCACATGTTTTGCACACAGGAGGCCTGGCTTCAACCTCGCTGTACTACATCGGGTCCCCTCAGCATGTCCAGGAATAATTCCCAAGCACCAAGTGAAGAACAGTCCCTGAGCACCACTGGGTGTGGTCCCCAAGTCAAAAAACAAAACACAAATGGTCAGAGAAAGGAGAGACCAGTTGGAGAATGAGATGAGGCTTCTAGGAGGCTTTAGCCTCTAGGCAGGGCGACGAGTGTGACTGAACAGAGTGACACAGTGCTGTGTGTGACTGTGAGTCGGGGCAGGTAAGAGGAGGGGCCACCATATGCCTCCAGCACCCTTCGTCCAGGTACTGTCAAATGCTTAGAGCAAGGCACTGGTCCCCCCAAAGTCAGTGGCCCACCCCTTGCCTTGTCCATTAGGCCCCAGATCCAGAGCAAATCCCTTCTCCCTCTTCCAGGAAGTGACCTGGCTTCCCGCACCTATCTCGAGGGGTTGCCTCCCTCCTCCCCAAAGGTGCTACCTCTCATCTGTCCCCGTCCCCGCCCCTTTCCTCTTCTTCCCACCATCTTTCTCAGCAGCAACTGTATTTCCTGCCCCAGGAAAGCTTCTCTCTAGCTTCCCCAACTGTGCAGCAACCCAGTGTCTCCCCAAGACCTGTTGCCAAAGCCTATCAGCTTTGTTATCACAACTCTCACCTTTGAAGACAAGAAGACAGATGTGGCCCTGCCCTCCCGGCTCTGACCCTATCACTTTCTTCCTTGGGAACCCGTTTTTCCTCCCCAACATCTTTGCCTCCTCTGGTACACATGACCTTCCTTGATATGCCTTTGCAGAGAGAATCACGCCCCCTCCTCTGCTCTTGACCCTTGGACACTAAGTGGGGGCTACTCAGGACCGCTAGTTGGTTAAGAGAAAGGCATGTGATCCAAGTAGAACAAAACCTAGGATTTGGGTGTCTGGAAAGCATCCAGCCATGTACTCCCCTTGCGTCTGATAAGCCAGTTAAAACTGCGACACTATAGTCAGAAAGTCCAAAAGAAATCCTACTCAGTAGTTACAGATAACCCAAAGCTGATGCGGTCATCTTTGCCACCACAAGGAAAGAACTCTTAACCAGAACCAGCCTGGGATTATGTGTAGAGAAAAGAGGCAGGCAGACAAAGGTTCCAGTAAAGTTGCTTGAGCACTGGCTCTCACCAGACCTGAAACTGTCCCTAGAGGTTTCAGTGTGTGAATCAATAACTCATTCCCTCTCTGGGGGCATATAACACTTCTGAAAGGCTTTTGCTACTTGTTGTGAATATTATATTTAAAAAAATTACTGAAGTGGCTGACTTAGAGCATTTGGGGACATAACACTTGAATAGCAGGTGGGACCAGGTGCACAGGTGCACAGTGCTCAGATGACCACACAGCTGTTCCCACAAACTCCAGCTGTGTAGCTGGAGACTCTCCACTTTTCTCCCCTTCTTTTTTGCCACTTTGATGAAGCCCCTCATGAAACCGCACCCTCCTTGGCTTTTATAGCCACCGCTGGACACTTCACAGTACTCCGGGGCACAGGCCAGTCGCCTACACATTTCTAGGACGAGATAGGAGGGGACATCCAACAATGAGAAAGTTCAGCTCTGGAGGGGGTGAGGTGTCTTCTGTGTTGTGTCCGGACCACACCCGGGACAAGCACGCTCAGCTAACAGGAATGAACCGCAAAGCCAGCTGGCGTGGGTCAAAGGCACTCGGAGAAGCCTGCATCGCCATCTAGTGGTCATTTACAGAAAGCCAGGTGGAGCGGAGCCATTGCTAAGAACCACATGGGGCCATGTGAAAAAATCTGGTCCAAACTCCTCCATCCTTCTGTGCCAAGCCCCCGGACAACAGCATTAACAGTAAACCCCAGAGTCCTGTCCTAAGGGGCAGCAGTATCCTCCTCCCAGAGGACTGGGCTTCCCTGCTTCTGTACCACTGCCACTAGCTCCTCCTGCACCCCCTCCCCCCACCTCCCCCTACCCCACCCATCACAAGCATTACAGGAGGCTCCAGTTCCTGCTCCCCACCCCCACTGTCCATGGAGAGGGGTATCTCCCGGGAGGGCTGTGCAGGCACTGGGGAACAGGGCGGGGCTGGGTCTTCTCTTCCTCGCTCTCCTGACCCCCCAGAGGAAAGATGCTTTATTATTTTTCCTTTTTGGGTCCCACCCGGCAATGCTCAGGGGTTACTCCTGGGACTGCACTCAGGAATTACCCCTGATGGTGCTCAGGGGACCATATGGGATGCTGGGAATTGAGCCCAGGTTGGCCGCATGCAAGGCAAACACCCTACCTGCTGTGCTATCGCTCCAGCCCTGGAAGATGCTTCTTATCTCCGGTGCAGGCAGGGAAGTCCGCCTTGGGTGCACAGGCTCAGGCTCATGATCAAGACTCCCACAGCAGCAAGAATAGTTTAGACAGGAAAACTCGAGTCTTGTGCTTCTGAGCAGTCTGTGTGGATCCCACATTTACCTAGTTCTGCTTGAGGAACAGAGCTCCCAGGCTGGCCCGAGAGGCAGGGAGAGGCCAGCGGGCAGCCCTTGGCCCCGCACGCAGCTCGTGCATGCTTGGGACGTCCTCGCCAGACACTCTGTCTCCACGCCCCCGACCCCAAGGCTGAGGCCTGGAACCCTCACGGTCCCAGGTCAGACTGTGCTCCTCTTACAAGACCAGCAGGTCTGCCCGCTGCCTGGCAGGGCAGGACTCAAGGAAGAAGCGGTGGGCAAAGCCCTGGGCCAGCATTCCACAAGGTGGTCCCTGGGAGTTTCCCAGTTACCACACCTCCAAAGCAAAGGAGGCAGCCAGGACACTCCCCGCCCCAACCCCACCCGACACCGAGGTCCCCATGGCCCCTGTAAGCCAGTAAGAGGAAGAGCTATGTCTCATTCTGAACCTCCCATGCTTTGATCCTTTAGACAACTTTGGGCAAACTTTTGAGCATCTTCACTTTGTGATGATGGAGAGTTAAGATGCGGGAACTTGTAAGACTCCTCCTGAGAAGTATCTACCTCCTTCCCCCATGTACTTCCGTGAGCAACTCCCCAATTCAGATGATTCTGGAAGCTCTACCACCGAGCACCTGGAGAAAGGACTCCACAGCCCCTGCCCAGCGTACGATACACATCAGCAGGTCCCCGCACTCAGAGCAGAGCCTGACTCTGAAAATGGGGCTGCCGGATGCAGGTAGAGGCCCTGCCACTAGCCCTCCGGTCCATCTGACCTCCTCCAGTGCACAAGCTCCCCTCGGAAGGTATGTGCAGATGGCAACAGCCATCTACTGTCACTGGAATGCACTACAGGTCACCAAACAAGCAAGCATGGAGGAACCCGAGGTCCCCCGGGCCCCTGTAGGCCTAGTGCCTCACTCACCTCCACAGCCTTCGAGAAACTGACCATTGGCTGCGGCCACTGGGTGATCTTCTCTCTGTAGTTGTTGCAGTCAGGCACGAACATGCAGCCAATGTTGCCCAGCTCCGGGTACAGAACCGCGAGGCCCCTGTGGGGAGAGGGGGCTGTCAGACCAGGGTGGAGGGTTTGGGGGGAGACCGGGGTTCATGTGCTCTGGCATGGGTAGGATGCGAAGCCCAGTGCGACTGAGGCCCACGCCTGCTCTAATGTGTCACAGCCAGACAGTTGAGGGCATGTGCCTCGGTTTCCCCTCCTGCAGATGGGAAGATGGACAGTGCCCACTCATGCCCGTGGTGTGAGAGACCCGGTGAGGGATTCGTGTCTGTCACAGACCCCGGTGTTACGAGGGGTCATAAGGTGTGGTCTAATATCGGGGTCTGCTTTGGAAAGAAAATCCACTTCCTGAGGCAGATGTGGTTGGCATTTTTAGTTGGATTGCATATTGACGCCCCCACAGATAGCTCGTCACCGCCCTGGACTGCTCTCTGTCCCCGAAATAACCATCTCTGAGCTAGGCACTACCCAGTCCTAGACTCCACCTCCATTCACCGAGTTTTCAAGAGTCACTGCGATTTCAGAGACATCTGAGCTCATGTCTCATATCTCAGGCAAAAACCCAAATCATCTCAAATATGTGTAAAGTATGTTCGTGTTACAGAGTAACATTGTGATTAGGAGAACTTACAGAGAGGTTAGAGTAAGAATAATGAAGAAAAGCAAAGCAGGTGCTGAGAGCTAAAGGATGAGTAGGAACTAATCACTGGGGGATTCGGGGGGCAGCGGGGGGGGGGGGGAGAATTTTCCAGCTAAAAGCAGCCAGTCCGCACTTAAATGGATATATTCTTGGAAACTGCTACTTATAAGTGAAACATTGTCCAAAAAAATCAGTTTCACCATAGGCAGTTTAAGAAAAACCAGGGTTGCCTTCCTGGGTGGCATTTATTCCTAGGGACCTTGTCTCAGCCTTGCAGACCCGATGCTTCATCTGAAATGAGAACCGGAAGCCTCCTCTTGGGGAGCAGTGGGCCCCGGCCTGGGGCACTGGCCTGGGAACGGGCTTCGAACAGAGATCAGGGCGCACCCCGTGGGCCTGCTGAGACAGCTGTGGACGGCCACCCTCGGCTGCTGTCCCTCTCCAGTCCTCGCGCTGCTGGCTGGGGATCAGGGTCAGTGAGTGGGCTGGAGGCAGAGTGGCGCCTGCAGATGAGACCACAGGCTGGTTGACAGTTTGACTTCAGGACCTGGGGGACAAAGCCCGCTGAAGTGCTCAGAGGAACGGGCACAAGAGCGGGTCATGGAGTGCTACCGCAGGGGTGTCCCTCGGCTGTCCCTGCAGGGCCACTAAGTCAGCAGGCTTCTGTTTGACTGTAGGGACTGCCTCGGCACCCCGAGGATTGGATCTGGAAAGGGGTCCCCATGCCCAGCTGCCCCTGAGTGAGGAAAGTGCAAAGGCCCCAGGACACGAGGCTGCATTGCTGGCAGCGGGCAGGATGCAGTGGGCATGATGGGGCTCAGGGGGATCTTTCCCTCCACAGCGAAGTGCCTTGTTCTTGGCCCCATGCCTGCAGTGCCACGTGGGAGGTGGAACTTGCTCACTGTGGCACCTACCACAAAAGGGGAAGGACACGGGTAGGGTCCGAGAGAGGGGGCCTCTCTTGGGGTGAGGAAGCAGCTGCAGGGTGCAGCCTTTAAGCACAAGGGGTCAGATCCCGGGGCTTGGGGTCACCTGCACAGGGCGGCAGGCACCCTGCTGCCCAAGAGGTGCCAGCTCGGGCACTGTGGAGCTGTGGTGTGAGGGCAGCCTTGGAATGTCTATGTTTGCATCAACCTGGAGGTTGCTGGTTTGGCAGATCTTGAAGGGGTCACCCACACGATGTGCAACACTGTGGCAATCGAGTCATGCCTGTGGGCTTTGGGGACGCTGAATCCCCATGAGAGATGCAGTTTCTCTGGGCAGGCCCCCAAGGGAGTGAGCAATAGACAGTGGTGGGGGTCAGGGGGGCAGTATGAGTGTTAGACCAGGGGGTGATTCATACTCTGTGGAGCACTTCCTTCCCCAGGGGTGGGGCAGGTTACATCATCTCTGGGGTTCTTTTGCCTGGAGGAGAACCATAGGAGATGTAGCACCAACCAGCTGGTCTACCACAGAAATGAATCAAAGAGCCTAAAGCACTGGCTGACCTCCAGTGGGGGTCCAGGAGCTTCCGAGGCGGGTGGGTGGGTGTGGTACTAAGGCAGAGTCCAGGCCTGTGGGACCCCAGCAGCCACCTGCCATGACTGCACTTGAAGGGTCATTTTCTCTGAGCACCACTGTATGAGAACACGGGCCAGCCTGGGGGCTGGCCCCGCCCTGGGCCTCTGGTGCCCACCCACACTACACTCCAGAAGATTCTGCTCAGCGGAGCGCCTCAAGGTTCTTCCCCCCCGCCCCTCACTCCCACACAAACACACTCACCTGCGGCATGAACCAGACTGTTTATGCCGTGTGTGGAGAGGAGAGAAATTCGTTTTTCAACTCCCTTAGCCAACTTGGTAGGGGGAAAGCAGGCATTCATCCTTGCAGACAGATTGTGAGCAAGAACTCAACTGTGCACACCTGTAAGATGAGGCTGTCCCCACCCTCACACCTCTTGGGGAGATGCCAGCCAGCCGGCTGGGCACTGGCTGGCAGGGGACGTGGCAGCTGCCCGGACAACCAGGGCAAGAACAGCCATTCCACCGACAGAGGCAGTGAGGAGAGGAGAGCTGCGTCCCTAGATGGAATGAGGCCCGGGACCACGCACCTGCGGTCTCTCTCTGCCCCACTCTTGGATCTAGTTCTGGCAGAACAAACCCCCTCCTAAACAGGGAAGGTTTCCTCATGCTCCCAGCCACTCCCCCACTGTCTATTTTCTTAAAACTGCCACAGTTGGGGTGGGTGGGGAGCATCCAAGACGATGGTCTCTCTTGGGTCCCAGTAGAGTCCCCGTATGCCAAGAGCCCCAAGGTGGAGGCACTGACCCCAGAACTCCCTCTGGAGGGGATGCCATCTTCCATGGAGGCGGAGCCTACACAGCCACAAATGGGGGCTCAGATGTGCTTCTGGGCCCTGGAAGGCCCCCTCCTGGAAACACCCACTCGCTTTCCATTCACAGGCTCATTCTCTGGGCCCACAGAGCCCCCCCACCCCCCCGTCTTACTTGCAGATGACAGCATCGCTGTCAGACAGGGCCTCGTACACACACGAGTCATCTTCCTCTGTGTCTGCAATGACCGCCAGTATGAGACCCCAAGACAGGGCCACCGCGACCAGCCTCACTGTCCAGCCCATGAGCACCTGCAACAAAAGGAGCCTTCAGAACTGTGGGGTCTTTGAGGGGCACAGAACAACAGGGCCCGCCCCACACTAGGGCTGCCCCAAGCCAGGCCTCCCCCACCTCATGCCAGGCCCACCCTGGGGGATCAAAGACCTCAGGTGGAGACTTAGGGAGAGAGGCAGCAGTTGCCAGACTTTGCAGCAAACGCACCAGCCGGACACTGGTTCCGGGGAGGCCTTTTGCCAACTCACTTGCCAGCCTGACTGAGGCCCCTCCTCTGTGGGGCAGGGTTTTGTGGTCACTCATGCCCGGCTGCCAGGCCACAGAGCAGGCTGCAAAGCACAAGTGCTTATATAAGCCGCTGGCGCAGTTCCTACCCTGCCCCGGCACCCGCCCTGTGTGAGGTTGCGTGGCCGAGAGCCAGCCGGCTTCTTTGGCCCCAGGGAGCCTGGTGGCCCCAAGCTCAGCTTCTATGAGAGCATGATCCGGCTTGTCTCCCTGTCCATCTACCACCCAGGTGGCAAGTCTGGTGGTGATGCTGGATTCAGGGACCTTGCGTGGGAGCAGGCCACCCTGCCTCCCCGAGGTCAGCTGAGGACAGGGTAGGGTCAGGTCATTGGCACCTTGCAGAGTGCTGAGCTCAGCATGCTCCCAAAATAATAGTCCCTGGAGAAGGCAGCACAGCAAGAAGGCAGCAGGACTGTGCGGGAAGAGGTCCTGCACCAGCCCTGAACTGAGGGCCACCAGGCCTGCCTGTCTGCCTTGGGGGCATAGCTGCCAGAGGGAGCGTGAGGGGCTCTGAGGGGAACAGGAGCCAGCAGGGCAGTCGTAGGCAGTTGCCCACTTTTTTTTTTTAATTTTTTTTTATTCATTTTTTTGGTTTGTTTGTTTTGGAGCCATACCACCTGGAGATGCCCAGATATCACTCCTGGAAAGACTCAACTTCTAACAAAACGCCCATATGGGGTGTAGGGGAATCGAACCCAGGTCTGTTGCGTGCAAGGCAAGAACCCTACCTGCTGTACACAAAAGTGCAAAGTGCTCAGCTCTCTGAATTTGCTAAGAGGGAAAGTGGGTGTAGGTAGGGGGGCAAGGACTCCTGGGTTCTGCCCTGCTCCCTCTCAGATACTAGGAAGATCATCCAAACACTGTGTGTGTGTGTGTGTGTGTGTGTGTGTGTGTGTGTGTCTGGGGAAGTGATGCGTGCCTCCGGGGTGAGATCAGAGCTATAACACACATAACAACCTTCTCAGAGGAACCCAAATGTTCTGCACTCTTTGCTTTTCCTGCTGAATTTCTGCTCCCTGGGGCTCAATTTCGAACAGAACGCCCTTCTCCTGGGTTATGCGTTACACGGGTTCTCAATAATAAGATTCCCTGAGGTATGACTAGGGCTCCCTCACAGACAGCTCATTCCTAAGACTCCCCGCCCCCCACCACCCAGATCCTGTTGCCTGCTTGCAATATCCTGGCGTGGGGTGTTATAGGTGGTACTTGGGTGCACCGGGGCTCGCTCAATGATACATGCATGGGCCTGTCCTCCCCACGACAAGGCTTGGGCATCTCTGCAGGGTGGCCATGCAAGGATAAGGGATTTTTGCCTTCACCGTCACGGGCACGAGTTCGGGCAGAGAGCAGCTGCCTGGGGCCTCCCGGGTCCACCGGTCACCGTGGCTGCCTCAGAGCATCCTCCAACCCCCGCAGGTGCTGACCCCTCCTGGGGTGCTATTTGCCCACTTGGCACAAGGGGAGACTGAGTCACAGAGTCATTAGCGAGCCAGGACGTGGGTCACAGGGGTAGTGAGCATGCAACCGGGATTTGAACCCAGGGCCTGGGACTCTAGGCCCCAAGTCTGGCTCGACTCGCTCTTCAGACGTCGCCGGTTCCTAAAGCCCAGAAGCCTCCGCGTGACCCACAATGCACCGCGCTGCCGGTTCTTCCTGCCCCTCTAGCCGCGCCTCTCGACTCTCCACCGCCTCCTGCTTCGCTGGTCCCTAGGCGGTCACAGCTCGCCCCCCAGCTTTGGTGCATAACTGGTGCTATTTCCTCTAAGAGACTGAAGATTGGGACATGAGTCCACCATCTTCTCAGGTCCCTAAATATCTTGATAAATGCCCTAAGAGTCTTGATCTACGCAGAGCACTTTACTCCTTCCTTATGTGTTTGCAACGGATGGAATTTTGGTTTGGGAAGCCATACCCAGGTGTGTGTGTGTGTGTGGGGGGGGGGGCTCCTTTGAGCCTAGTGCTTGGGGATTGAGTCTGCCAGTCCTCAGGGGTGTCTTTCAGAGGTGCAAGAGATCTCACTGGGCCTCTGGCTTGCTAAGCATGTACATGGCCACTGAGCTTTCTCTCTGACCTTGCTATATTTAGGATAGGGACCCTAAGTTTGGATATCCACTGCTTGAAGGGCAGTATTCAAGAAACAAGAGATGATGTGAGGAAAACAGGTTTATTCGGGTATTTAGGGACCTGAGAAGATGGTGGACTCATGTCCCAAAAGTCATTTTGCTCTTGGGCTGGGCGTAGTGCCTCACATAGGCTCACACAGGCTGGGGAGTACTCTACTGTGGGAAAGTGTCTGAGATGCTTCAGAAACCTTTTCAGAGGCCTGTTGGCACTTCTCTGGGGATAGGGCTCTTTGGTCATGATAAGCATCCCAGAGGGTTCTCAGATGGCCTGCTGTTTGCTCTTGCCCCCTCCGTTCATAACTGGCCTGGTTCAGCATCAAACACCCAATGCTCAAGAACATCTTCTAAGATTAGAGGCCGGGCCAGAGAGATGGTGAGTACAGGGCTTAAAGCATATGCCTTGCCAGTGACCCAGCCTGGCTCAATCCCAGGCGTCATATGGACCCCAGAACATCACTAGCCAGCACAACCCAGGGAATCCCAAGCATAGCAGGGCTCAGGAAGCCCAGGGTCTCCTGAGCACCCTTCGGAAGTCTCCCGAGCAGCCAACAACTGTTCTCCCAACAACTTCCAGCAACTCCCCCCCCCCCCACACACACACATACACAAAAGATTGGGAGGCAGAACAAGACCCCAGGATTAATGGGATATTATAAAAAATAATTCTGAGAGGGACAGGATAGTCTTCACTGCCTGCTCACTTGTACTTACAGGCCTTTTGGTCTGGCACACGCGACCTGTAAGCTGCTTAGAGGCAGTGCCCAGACTGCTCCAGGCCTGGAGTGCACATTGCTTAAAGAATTCTTGCTTGAAGGCCAGACACTCTTGCTACTTGTATTTCTGTTAGTTCTTATTTCCTCTTAAGAACTCACAGCTCACTCTAAATCAGTGGGAAACAAACCACTCAGGTTGGCCTGGGCCCCGAATCCCTTTTGCTTATTTATCTAACCTTCTCTGACCTGTTTTGGTACAGGGAGATCTGACAGAATGCAGTGGTTCTCTGTATTTTTTAATTCATAGTACTTGGTCTCATACCAGAATCCAAGATCAGAGGTTCAATTACAAGTCAGGGGGAACCATTCCCTGCCCTCTCATCAGCATGTTTTGCTCAAAACAGGTTTTGATCTTTCGGTGCTCACCCATGAAGCTCTTTTCTCTTTGTTCAGTCACCTGGCTGAGAACACCTCTGAACACCTCCAAACCAGGCTAAACCCAAGCACTCCTTCCTTTTCAGATCTTGGGGAGCTTCTAGAGTGCTACAGAACTCCTGAGCCCCTGCATCCTCCAGACCCTGCCTAGGTCCCTCTCCCATCATCACCCAGTAGCTACCCAGACACAGCTTCTCCCTTCCTCCCCTAGGTTTCTGGATTCAAACAATTGCAGTGACCAAACTCCCCCATATTCTTTTTAATTCATTTTTTTGGAGGGGTCTATTATGCTAAGGACTTATTCCTGCCTCTGTGCTCAGGGATCACTCCTGGCAGGGCTAAAGGAACCATATGGGGTGCTAGGGATTGAACCTGGATCTGCTGCATTCAAAGCAAGCACCCTACCCAATTTACCCGCCAGACTATTGCTTAGGCCCTTTGGCCCTTTTGTTAAAAAATAAATTACAGTGTACTTTAGTTTGGTGCACAAAATATTTAAAATATTTAAAAATAAATTTGGTGAAGTTTAACTTTTTTTTTTTCACCTGCCAGTGCCTTAGGTATTATATCCCAAATTCTGTCCTGTGTTCTACTGTCTTAGCTGTCACATTTATGTCATATCCGTAACATGTGAGTGAGTTTTTGCATGCAGTGTTAGGCAAAGGTCATTTGTGTTTTTTTTATGTATACAGTAGTTTCAACACTGTTTGCTTTTCTCATTGAAATCCCTTCATTCTTAACTTTCTACACAAATAGCTCCCTCCTCCTCCCATAACCAGAGTCTCTGTGTCCCTTTGAGAAGCTGCTTTCCTGCAATCTTTTTAAGTGGGGAATGACTGTATCTCCCCCACCAACATTTCAGGACTGAGAGGTAAGGCTGATGCACAGCCCGTACCCGCTGGCTGCGTCAGAACTCTAATTCCTCTATTCTCTCGTTGAAATCTATGCCCTTTGAGATGTGCTCCCTCAGAATCAGTCCTAACCGGTGCTCCTGTCTTCCTACACTGGTAACATGGGGCCTTTCTTCCCTCCTTGAGGTTGCTGTGTCCACCCTAGATGAAGTCCATATCCAACTATGCCTTTTCCAACACTCCCTATGCCTCTCTTCCTGTAGCAACTTTTTGAACACTGTCTTCTGTAAGAAGCACCGCAGGCCCAGGAGCATTCGGAAAACAGTCTCTCCTTCCCCCTCGCTCATTCTCACACTCCCTCTGCACTAGTGTCCCTTCTCAATCTGAACTTGAATTCCTTAACCACTGTCCTCTCTGTCTCTCTATTTTGACTTCCTTCACTCTGAGGCCCAGTTCAGAAGAGACTTTCCTGCTATTCACTCACCAATATCTTCAGTTCCTTTCTCCTTCTCCTCACCTTGAGGCTGATGCAACTGCGGTTTTGGACAAGTCCAGGAGTCTGGCTCCATGAAGCACCCTTACTGTTCACTACATCCTCTGTCCACTAGGTACCCTCCACCCTCCACACAGCCTGGGCTAGAGGTGGGAAGCGTGGAGCTGTGCTAACTGGAAGAAATCAGTCATGGGGGACCAGGAGATAGCTTAAAGGACTGGAATGTCTGTCTTACATGTGTGAGGCCCCAAGTTCAGTCCCTGACACTGTATATTACCCCCACACCCTGAACGTTGTTGAGGTGTCCCAGGTGCCCCCCAG